TATATATATATATATATATATATATATATATATATATATATATATATATATATATATATTCTTTTAAATATGTCATTCGTTTATTTTATTGGACTTAGTGGACCAAAGTTTATAAAGCCATGGCTTATAGCCATCGGTGTGAACTCCCACATAATACAAACTACTCTAACAACAGTCACACTTGATTTTGTTCGACGCACTCTTGGATTTCAGTTGAGGTGAGCCAAGCACATCTGTTCGTGGTGACAACTTTTTTTTATGTACTTTTTTTTAATTCGATTCGTAGGCTGCGTCTATCAAGCTGTTGTAATTAATCTTTGTATATGCTTCTTGATTATATTGGTGGGTTTTTTGCATTTGACTTACGTATGTACGTAATTCTCTAAACAAACATTGATGGATAATTTTCTTTTTTAAAAAATCAATCTTCTTTGAAAGGTCAATATACAGTGATAATACAAAATAATCATTCTAGAATAGAGGATGATGGACTGAGTTTGTTGCACTTCCACAATTGGGACAAAACATGGAAAGTTCAGTGTGTCCTAAATCATCCGATGCATAGCGCCGTAGCCAAATGGTCAAGCAACAAAAACAAAGTCAACAACTATTGGCTCGATTTGTTATTTACTTACTTATTTATTTGTTTGAATATTTATTTGTTTAGCAGTCGTGGTATGCTTGATAGTTACCTAGAGACTGTATATATACATACACCGTACGTACCTGTGTAACTATAAATTTTATAAATATAATCCAAATATTTTAAGTAGAAGCAAAGACAATTTTGGAAAAAACAGAATAAATTTTTTTTCTCAAAAGTATTTTAAAAAAATATATATTCAAAAGTATATTACATTTATAAGAGCTTGATAAAATACTAATTGTTATTTAAAAATTATTTAAAATTAATTAGACAAACATAAAATATTAATTATCAAAAATACTTTTTAAAAAAAGCAATTCTCAAAATAAACTAATTTTAAAAAATTAGACAAACAGAGTATAAATTATGGGTGTTTAACGGGTGGGCTGGGCCGGGTCCGGGCTGGTTCTTAACGGGTTCGGGTTCATCCGGGTAAAAATTGAACCGTAAGGGTTACGGGTTGAGGGGGCCGGGCCAGGCCGGGTTTAGTGTATTTTTAATTTTTTTTTTTTTGGAATTTTGTATAAATATTGTAAGTTATATTAATACAAAGTACTAACATAAAGAATACAAGGAAGATGGGAAAAAATTGCACTTATTGCAAGTGCTACTTTTATTTCATAATTCAAACTTACAAATTGAAAGATTTACATTTTTAACAACAAGTAAATTCAAAGGTTTTGCATTGCCTTAGTAAGTTCTTCATAATCAATATGAACCGATTGAACTTCTTCTGGAGTGTTAAATTCGGATGGGTTACCATGTGTTAATATATCTCCAAGTTCCTCGTCTTCTGGGCTATCAACATCTTCATGTCCTTGATTTCTTCGTTCCGATCTAATCCAATCTCTGAAACATACTAAAACTTCCAAAACATTGCTTCCCAATGAGTGCGCGGGTGTCTTCAAGTTGTTGTCTTGCTTGGCTAAATGCACTCTCCGATGCAACAGTAGAAATTGGCACATTCAGCACGTCCCGAGCCATAGTGAAAAGAACAGGAAATTACTTTCCATTCTCATGCCACCATCCCAACGGTGAAAATTCCTTTGTGCGAGGCTCTTTTTGCTTCTGCAAGTAGAATTGAAGTTCATCAATGTTCCTGCTATTGGTTTGAGTGTTAGAAAATGTAAAAAAAATATTAAAACTATCAAGGCCTTCTTCATCATCCACAGTAGCAGAAGTGGTACAGTGCATAGTGGGATTAACATTGCCTACAGCACGAGCAGCATCATCAATTACATTTGCATAATAATTATATAATTGTTGTAAATATTCATTTAGCATGTTCATAGAGACATATAAATTTGGGGTTTCAGTTTCTCCAATCTCCATATAAGTATATAAAGCATTCATTAATTGGTGACAATCAGACATGTTAATAGAAGGATTTAAAACTGCACCAATTAAGTAAATCGGAGGAATTGGAAAGAAATATTTTTTGAATTTTGCTTGCATTTTTTCAACAACATCCATATATTTTTCTTTCTTCTTAAATTCAGAGAGTACAAAAGAAATTTCAGCTATATGTACTAAAGCCATAGTAACAGTAGGGTAATATGCTCCAGAAAACTCAACAGTAGCTGTATAGAATTTATGTAAAAATTTAACATCATTAATGACCTCCCAAGTACCAGTTGTTAACATACGGTTTGGATCAGTACAATGCGCATTAGCAACTTCAGTTATTGGGAATCAATATTTGTAGCAACATTTTAAAAATATATATGTATAATTCCATCTAGTAACAATTTCGTCTAGCATGAATCTGGGTTTAAGGTTATACTGGACACACTTATTCTTAAATTCCTTTATTCTAGATTGTCTATTATTTCCTTGAATAACACCAACTGCTCTTCTAACATGAGTAATCTCAGTTGAAAATAAATCAAGGCCACTTTTAACAATTAAATTATAAACATGACATGCACACCTAACATGAAAAATTTCATCAAGAGGTGGTTGCAAATGCAGTTTTAATATTGAAATTGCGGCATTATTGTTAGAAGCATTATCAAAAGACATACACAATTCTTTTTGCTTTAGATTATAAAATTCAACTACTTCACAAATAGTACTACTTATAAACACAACAGTATGACTCTGATCTTCATCATATCTAAAAGCGATAATACGTTTTTGCACACAAGTAGTATCATCTATCCAATGACATGTAATTGTCAAATAATCATTTCCATTAACAGCATGGCCAATATCAGAAGTTCGAGAAACTCTACAAGGAAGGTGGCTAAACAAATAACGTATGTATGTTTGATATTGTCCATGAAGTCTAAAGATATCAGCTATACAAGTACTTTTAGGGATACCTTTAAATAAAGGATTGTAAATCTTTTGAATATACATAATAAGATATGATGAAGAAGCAAATGAAAAAGGTAGACAACCCAAAGCAATCATTTTTGCTAACTCCTCACGATCCTTCATTTTATCATATTTCACTAGACCTCCAGTAGTAGGATTAATAGTTGTTTGATTTTCATCACCATCAGCGCCCCATTCTATGGGATGCTCAGTTCTCATATGTCTACTAAGCGTCCCAGTCCCCCCTAAATTTTCTCCAGTCAAATGTTTAAAATCACATTTACAAAGTTTGCATTTAACTCTATCAGTACCTTCTATTATTTCAAAAAAATTCCAAACCTTACTTCTTTTTCTACGATTAGTAGTCGGAGCCACAGATGGTCTACTACTAGTGCCACGACCACCACCCCTTGTAGCAACTCCAACACTACCAGCTCCAGCACTAGTAGGTGTAGCTGGTATCTCATCTTCCATTTCTATTTCATTATCTTCTATTCCAAAATCTTCTTGTAATTGTTCATAATCTATATCTAAATTATCATTAGGCGATGATTCGGAAATATGTGTAAATGATAATGGGTTATTACTATTACTACCAGATGCTGAAGGACTACCTCTTTTTTTATTTTTCCTACCAGTAACTCTTTTACACGCTCTTTTAGCAGCATTAAATATATTGTAAAAATTAAAGTATAAGCTAAAATTAAATATGCAATTAAAATAGTAAATAAGAGAAAAGAGTTGGAGGGAGTGCACCGAATTCGGCAATAAATTGAGCACTTGATTACGCAATTCCGATGTTACCACGAACAAACGTCAAGCAAGTATTTCAATTTTGAACTTCAATTGTTCAAACTTCAAATTCCGAATGACAAAACACGATAAATTAAATTCAAGAAAAGAGAGCCAAATAAAATTAGAAGATGAAATGATGAATTGAAGACTTGAAGTCTTGCAAATTGGAGAATGAGAGAATGAGAGAAATTGAGATTGAGAAATGAGTATTGAGTGAAGAAATGAAGGGGGGGGGGGGGGGGAGGGAGTATTTATAGTTTTAGAGAAGGTTAATTTTGTAAATTGAAAAAGGGTTAAAAATTAAAAAAAAGGGTTATTTGTGCAATATTTCCGTTGGCCTACGGACCAAATGAAGGTCTGACCGTTGCCAACGGTCAGTGGGGCCCACAATTTCGAAAATTAAAAAAAAATTAGCCGTTTGAACCGGGCCGGTCCGGGCCGGTTAACCCGGTAAGAATTACTGTTCACTCTTCCGGGTTCAACCGGGCCGGTTCCGGGTTCTATCGGTCTGGGCCGATCCGGAACCGGGTCAACCCGGCCCGTTTAACACCTTTAGTATAAATCAATGAATAAATTCCACATTCTCCGTTTTCTTTTTTTCCTTCCCCCCGATCTGTGTATGCAATAGAAGAAACTTTTTGGGGGAGAAAAATGGAAGTCCATGTTTGCCCAAAAAAATTGAAAATGAAAACGTCCATGTTTGCTCACGGACCAAACTTTTGATTCTTTCTATGTTTCACCGCATCATCACGCTATCTATTCCTAAAACTAAAAATAAACTCTCCTCCTGCTGAAAAGGTCTTCCCACTAACCCTTCTCTTCTTCTTCTTCTTCCTCTTCGTCAAGCATAGCATATAGCTATTAGCATCAAGCCATCAACAGCTACAGCAAACCCATTTAAGAAAAGAGTACCCTTTCAATTGCTTCAGAAAAATGGCGTACGTGGATCATGCTTTCTCGATTTCAGACGAGGATATGATGATGGACGGCTCTCACGCCGACAGCAATCGCGGACCGATGAAAGAGATCGCTCTTGCCGTTTCCCTTCTTGTCTTTGGTACCCTTGGTATTGTTCTCGGTATTTTCATGGCCATCAATAAGGTTGGCGGCGATACTGCTCATGGTATTTTTTTTCCGAGACTCTTTTTCCCCCTTATGACTATTCCTCCCTCTAATTTTCTTATGTTGATATGGTTACGTCTTTCCCTTTATTACTTTGAGCTGGATCCAGCTTCAGATACTGTTTCTCTGAAAAGTACAAGTATTGGAGCGTTCTGTACAACATATTTATGCCACCGTAGAGCTGTACTTGATCTGGTTGATAAAACCTAAAACGTGATGGGTTCCATGGATACAGAATAAAAAAAGAGGGCAATATTTTATCCTTAATCCTTAATTATTTTTAGCTATCCAAGTTTATTTTACAAGTATAAAGACCCTAAATAGCTAGGAGTCTGAGGAAAACATGGATTAAGTGAAAATAAAGATATGCCATTTTTTGTCCTATACCAGCCATGAACTCTTCAAAATTGTTTCTGCTTTATCATTTCACCTTGTTTCCCTAATTGAATATTCACCCTTCCACTCAGACTTCAATACCTTCTTTTTTTTTTTCCCTAATTTCTGTTTTGGCTTTTCTATTGATACTCAGGTTTTGGGGCATAATTGTTAGCTGACTAGGGATTAATTTAGTGGGGATTGCTGTTGTCCTGTGTCCCTTTTCTTGCTTTATTTCGATCCTATCTTCACGTCTGCCGTTATTTTATTTCCTTGGTGATTTGTGTTAGTTTGAAATCTTAAATAAGCTAGGCTAAGATTAAGTAATTATTTGCTTATGCAGATCCATTTGTCGCAATTCTCAAATTCTAGGTGTACAACCTAAGGTTTTCAGAAAATGTCTTGGTTAGATTTATGGATTATATGGTCCTGAACACTTGCCTCTGGAATTTCCATGGGCATAAATCGTAGTGTCTGTAAGTGACATTGTTTTTGTGTTCACTTCTAGGAGGGTTTAGTTTACTATGAGTGAATATGGCATTTTTAGGTCTCTTCCTAGGGATAAGCTATGACGAACCTTTAATGAGGGGCAGCCTGGTGCAGTTTTGGTTGTAGTTTGGGCATGTCAAGTAGCTACGGCAAGAAACGATTCCTTTTTATTTGAAGTGAATGTTCGTCTTACCATTTGTCCTCTTTAACTTTCTACACATTGTTGTAATGCAGGGCTATTTTTTGCTATACTAGGGGGAGTTCTGTTTATACCAGGGTTCTACTATACGCGGATTGCATACTATGCTTACAAGGGTTATAAAGGTTTCTCTTTCTCCAATATACCTCCCGTGTAGATTATGGATGATGTTGATACATTGTACAGCTAGGTCATTACCCTGTTTCTACGTCATTTCCTGTTTTCTACACTTTTGCTACTCTTAGATAAGTGCTGTAAACAAAGTGAATCTCTTAAAATATAGTGTTGTTTCTTTTAGTGCTATTAGATTACCTGGGAATGAGAATGATGATATCCATCCATCTGATTTGAACATTGAACCATTACTTGCTAAAGCTGAACTATGCACTCTTCAACTCAGCCACAGTGTGTATGATGTAGTACTATAAGTTGTTTGTTTTTGGTATTTCTCAATATGATCAATTACTTTTCTTCCAATCCTTGGGCAGAGGGTTTTGCCTCTATTGTTTAGCTGAAAGGACTATTTTGTGATCTAACTGATTGGTAGCATTTTAGTCAAATGGCGAATATTTATGGTCTATCTGATATGCATCTACATGGACACTGGAAAGGTTTTTGCTTTGGTGTGTGGCAGAGGGATATTATTCCTATAGTTCAATATCCCCTTAGATAAGAAACAAAAGGATTTGAAAGGCATATCAGGAATTTTTTGTGTTATATGGGTAGTGTACAATCTTTAAAAGGGTGTGACATTGGTAAGGTGGTCATCTATTTGCTCCAATTCAGAAGCCAGTCATACAGTGATGAGATGGCTAAAGAATAGTCTTTACTGCTTGAGCCAATGTATATCAAGATCCTCATAGAAATGTCAATGTGTAGGCTATGATTGTGCTTAGGCTGTATTGTTTTGTGGCTCGCATATCTACAATTTCTTTTCAAATGTCAAGCCATTCAAGTGTAGCATTCAGTTGTTTCAAGTTTCAACTATAACAAATTAAATGCTTCAGTCTTCAGATACTCCTCGCTTCTCAGCTTTTCTGAGCACCTCCGGAGAGAATCTTTTGAACTCCTAACTATGAGAACATACTTCTGCATGTCTCTTTTTTTTTTCATTTGTTTTCTTGGTCTGTAAAACTCATGTAAACACTAATGGCCCTTACACAATAACCATTCCTCTAGATTCCTAGGCATGTAACAAACCCAATCAATGAATGCAAAACATGTATTCTGCATATACACCTTTGTTAACTATAACATGGTTTAGTGATGCATTCTCATTTTAATTTGTAGTTCTAAGGTTACATTGTTTGGTTTGGTGTAAAGTGTAAACAAACACTAAGGGTGTGTTTGGTACGAAGGAAAATATTTTCTAATTTTTTCATGTTTGGTTGGTCTAAATGTTTTGGAAAATATTTTCCTCCAATTGGAGGAAAATGTTTTCCCTATCGAGAAAACATTTTTCAAAACTCCTTTTCAACCTTTCCCACCATATTCCCCATCCTCACCAACCAACCCCCACACCCCGCCCACCCCCGGCCCACCCCTAGCGACCCTTTCCTCCCCCATCCTAAATAAAAATACTATTAACAGTACTTGCTTTTCATTTCTGTTATAAATAGATTTTTTTTCATTTCAACAAATAAGTATTTTTTTTTTCATGATATAAAAAATACTTTTTTCCTTTTGACAAAAAAATACGTTTTTTCATGTAGAAATAGTTTTTTTTTTCATTTCAATAAAAAAGTGTTTTCTATTCATGATGTAAAAAGAGTATACGTATTTTTTTTTCATTTCAACCAAATGAGTATTTTCTTTTCATGATGTAGAAAAAGTATTTTCTTTTTATTTTAATAAAATTAGTACTTTATTTTCATGTTGTAGAAAGAGTATTTTCTTTTTTGTTATGGAGTACAAATTTCAACGTTATTTTTGCGTAAAAAAGTAAAGCAGCACATTAGTTTCTTTGGATTTGTGTGATTTTTTAGAGACTTGGGGGAGGTGAA